TGCTTTTCCTTTGGCCTACTTGTCTTCACTGGAGTTGATGGCGAATTGAGATTGAGATGGACATTGGTGTGGATCAACTTGTTGAAAAGCTCCCTCATTTAGATAAGCAACTTAATTGCGGAAAACTTTGGAGTGTGGACCTAGTCTTCCCTACCCTACCAATAAAGACATTTAATTTGAGGCGTATTTATTTTCCTATATAAAGCTGGAATCCACTAAGACACCTCACGATAGCGACCTTCGATAAGATATATCACTCTGATTTTACATTAAAATTAATTTTATTTTCCTTGAAAAATGCTAATGTTAATTTTTTGATAAATAATTATTACATCATTTGATTTAATACATTTATCGCCGCTTCTTCTAATTTGTAAGTATTCTTTATCACCGTGGCAAAGATCACTTAATGGCATTGGAAGTACACAAGGTTAATTCGTTTATTAAAAATGCTTCTTTAACGGACAAATCATCCTAGAACCAAGTCCATGGATGACATTTTAGAAATGATTGTTGAATTATTTCACCAACTTGATCGTAAAAAGCGGCTTAATGACGAACTATTCAAGGTGGATATGATTTTCTCTAGGATTTTACTTGTTTTAGTTTGATACTATTCGAGAATCAACTTCCTAATGAACACAGAAAAGTATGTGGAGTTGCTTTGCCAGCCAGGAATAATTAGTAATTTTTTGGGTGATAATGCAGCAGTTGCGACCCCTGTTTAACAGGCTTGGATATCATGTAAGATTCTCTCAAGAAAACGTTCTTTTATAAAGAGTTATTTAATGATATCAACGGGGCATTACATACAGTTCACCTTGGATCAAAAGCATGGCAAAGTTGGGCATCATTACTTCAACAGTCCATGGTCATTCATCTCCTTCCTTGCTGCACCTCCTTACCCTGCTACAGACAATATTTACAAACTTCCCTCGGTCTTGAAAGCGCAGGAAACCAAAATCTTTCATCCGTGGATTTGGCTCTTCAGCATATACATGAATAATGCAATGACTCCTTAATTATGTCCAGAATGTGTGATTAATTGAGCTAGTGTTTGTAATTGTTGATTGTATGTATGGGTGCATAAGACTATTTGTTAATTGTATAAATTGATGTTGGATGTTGACGATATTGCGTATGTAACTGCAATGTGAGCGCCAGCTAAAAGTGTTGTCTCTTTCCCCAACATTTCAATAAAGTTTTTTAAGCAGAAGGATAAATATATATTTTTATTGCTCATAAAATCTGTAATTATTAATATTTTAAATTTTATTTTCATCCTTTAAAATATGTTTGAGTTGAAAAAATAAAAAAGAAGGGGGAAGAAAATGAGAAGGAAAAATAAATGAAGAGAATGTATTACTACTAGTTTTTTTTTTTCTTTTTTGTGCAAGAATATTTAATTAATTGTTTCAAATGTTAGAATCCTCAAAGGATTAAGAGAATTATTTTTCAAGGTTGGTCAGTAAATTATAAATTAGATTAAGCTTTAATTAGTATTAATAGTGATTAGTGAGTTTTTTTAGTTGTATTTATAGTACTTCTTTTGTTTATTTTTAATATTTTTAATTTGAATTTTTAAAATTTTAATTATAAATTTTAAATAAAAGTTTAATAATTTATATCAATAATAGTTAAAATTTTTTATATAAAATTTTTATTGAGTATTTTTATTTAATAAAATATTAATTATTATTTATATAATATATTAAATTTTTTATCTATATTTTATATTTAAAAATTAAAAAATTAAACTAAGTTTATTATAAATAAATAAAAAAAATTATTCGTGTTAATTTCTAATTTGAGTTTGCATAGAACCGATGATGAGAGTCTGTTCTTAATTGGGAGTCCTAGAAACGGAAGTCAAGTTGACTCAACTATATGGGCCACTCATTCATTTTTCTGTAATTGGTGGGTGGGTGCTTGGAGAGCTGAGGTAGATATGAACTAACTCGCTGATGACCGAACTTGGACCCCGGGCTTCCGTTGTGGCGATGATCATACGCCATTTTCTTAAACTCGTTTAAAAGTTGTTTAATTGATATTTTATTTATTTATTTATTTAAATAATTAATTGTAATTTTAAAA